CGTGGAATCCCAGGAAGAATTATTACGTAGAATTCAGAACGAGGCGGACGCAATATGGAATGATCCATAAAAGTTGAGGAGGATTCAGTTCGATTTCAATCGAAGCATCCAAGAAAATGGCGGGCATATCGAACATGTCTTGTAATTCCATCATCATCTATCGTATCTATGTAACTTATTATCCAGTTTCAATAAAGAGAATTATGTCTGTGCTAAGTATGTCTTTACATTTTTTGTTCATTAACAAAAAATAAATCTAATGAAGTAAAGTGATATTCAAGCCATCGCGTCGCGACAGACTTGTGACATTGTGACCAGATTTACTGCGATACGTCTAAAATTGTTAAGTCGCAACGAAACAGAAAACATTTTTTTTGTGTAAAAACTATGAACACTACAAGATTTTACCAACAGCATGAAAATCTCGAAAAATGATTGATGCATAAAAAACACAATGAATTGATTCCAGCGACCAAATAAAAAGTTCTGGTATTCTTGTACCAAAACACTCAATAATTTACCACTTGCCTAAGGCGGATGGACGCGGTTGCTTCATCAAAACATGAGCCTTAACTTAGGAACAAGTCCACGGCAAGTTTCATTAAAATATATGGATCTTAATGGAAGTTAGGTCAGATCGTATTCTTTTGAGCCAAAGAATGTCGAGATACCTTTTTAATCATGTGCTTATGGGACACCCTGTATAACTCTCACCTACCGTATTAGACCGTCAATCGTCTTTTAACCGTCAACAAATCAATCCCCACATCCGCAAGCAACAACGCAGACAGTGGTAGGAAACAATGCTGGGTATATTTTCTTACACCTGAAATATTACGATTCCATTTAATATTTTTGTAAACATCCAATTGGCTGTCGGGTACACTTGCCATTTTTGTATTCAATGAAAAACCTGTTGTGTTGGACAATGTTTAACTGTGCTGTATACTTTTAAATTTCCACCAAATTCGATCTTTCGATATTTCTACTACTTACAAAAAATTCAAGTTGAATTTTTATTTTTACGAATTTTTAAGAATACGGATGTGTTGCTCTTCGTCTATAACATTTCCTTTAATAAATTTGTTAATTCCTAAATATTTGTATGTCATCTCTAATTAAAACTATTGATTTTTTTTTTTATAGAAAACCCTCAGACTTTCTCTTCAAGCATGCAACTAAATGTACGTAGGTAGGTACTTGTTGTATTTTACTGATATCATCGAACGCTAACAGAACAGAAGACCCAAAGCGAGGAGGGATTGTGTAATTTTAATTGACTTTGAAAGTACAATAAAAAAAATTTCTCGTTGTGGATATTCTTGATCCCTTTAATCTTACACCATTCAACTTTTTATGTTTCTTCGTCAATCTTGACTTTTCTGAAAGAAATGAAGAAAAAACATTTTCCATGGTTGATTTGAACAATATCAGATGGTTTACTTAATAAGAGACAAACTGTGACATAGCAATCAAGAATCAATCCATTTTCCATCCATATATTTATGAATGGAAATAATGATTTTTTCTAGCAAAAAAATCCAGTTACCACAAATATTACGGATAATTCTATATTAACTATGATTTTTTTTAATATTTGGTTTTTAAAAATTATCCTTTAAAAGCGATAAGCCATGCACTGTAGCCTTTTAATAAGGTCTGTAATTTTGTATTTGATGACAACCATCTCTCTGCTATTAATAATAAAATCATCCTAACTTGTCCAACCTTTAATAGACGTTAATGTTTTTCGTTGCAAAAGCGAAATAAATAATACCATATTGATCGTATCTATTACTGTGTCTTGTGTTTAATTTTGAAATAAAAATAGATTCGAGCAGTTCTGAAGGTGTGATCGAATAGTAAAAGAAGCAACGGAAGATTTACTACCGAAAAAGTCTAGGGCGAGGTATGAAAAGGAATACAATGGTGTGTGGCAGGAAAACAATAAACATTAATGAAAATACTATAATCGCTTATTTCGCTGACAAAAATTAAAATGTCTTCTTCACTTGGTGCTACTACTCCATGTTGAAAACCACTTTGACTGTGAAAAATAACATAAATCCAGAAAAATATAATAAACTGATACATACATGGCTAAAAAATCAGCGTATTTATTGTAAGTAGATAAATTTTTTATAAGATTATTGAACGACGATTTTTTCATGATAAAGGTAGAATTTGTTATATTTTTATTAAGATTTAACTTCATCCCAAACACAAAAAAATGAAAATGAATTGAATGATTTTGAATGATTTTTTTAATGTTTCCGATTGCCTTACCCATAGGATTAACGGGATCCTACCACTGAGAAGAGTTAACCAAAATAATGTTAGACATCGAGCGACAGGATATCATTATCATTATTAACATTTCCGACTCAAAACACACTTAAGTACAAAATGTGTAGTTTATGCTTAGGAGAAAGAATATTTTACCAAATATGTGTCGTTGAGGCCTTCGCACGTAGCAATCAATCGACTGTCTTTATTCTATAAGAAATGAAACTGTACCATTCAAATTGTAATTTGAAGAATTGAAGAAAATCCATTGGAAAAATACCAAGCCAGATAGATTCGAACCTGAAATTGCCAGGTCCTAAAGCTTACACAAGGCATTGTTTTAGATGGACGTCGGCAACAATATTAGCAGACTTTGGAGATCTCACGACTTTGAAAGGTTACGCTGTAGCAAAGGGATATGTGACTGACTCGGTAAAAAAACAAGACTGGAATAGCGAAGAACATCAGTGAAGTTGAAAAAAGGGTTCAATTTCACGAATCTGCCATTTATTCGTATACTCGACGATCTGCACAGCTAAGACATTCATTAGCGAATCTGCACCATTAAAATAGAGAATGTTATTAACTAATAAATAGATGTGTAGTCAAACACATTGATATTATGTTTTAAGAATTTTTATCTACTCTTATTAATTTATATATTAATTATTCAACTGCTTTTGAGCAATTAATTGTATTAATAAACAAGTAGCGTGAGTTTTTATAGTGAGTTATTATAACTCACGCTGGGCTTCTACAATGATAATTCGGTATGTAAATAGTGTCGCAGTAAATTCTTGGAAATTTTTAAGCCGATAAATACGTTCCATTGGTGTAAAATGGAAAGAAAATGGTGGAAGTGGAAAGGAATGAATAATTAAAAGATTTTAAAATTATTCTTCTCCTCTCCTCTCAGTAGGCGGAACTGTCAATTATTATCATTGAGAGGACTAATGTCATTTGATATTTTAACAAAATAATTTTGACGTTTTCAAATCAATTTCTAATAATAGTCATAAAAAAGATGAATTTAGATAGCGAAGATGAGTTATTATGTACACCTCCAGAAATAAGAGAAGTAGCTAATAATGCAATACAGAATTTATTACCAGAAAAATCAAAAAACAAGTATAAATGTGTATATAAAAATTTTCAAGATTGGTGTAGCAATAAAAACGTTAACGCGTTTACAGAAAATATGCTTTTGGCTTATTTTAATGAACTTAGCAATAAATATAAAGCATCGTCTCTATGGACTTTCTACTCCATGCTAAGAAGCACACTCAACATATATAATGGAATTAATATAGAGAATTATTCAAAATTATGTGCGTTTCTTAAACGTCAATCAGAGAAACATATTTCATAAATGAAGCTCCTGATGAGAAATATCTGGCGACAAAGGTAATAGCTTTTACAAAAATTCAAACGTTTTTATCATCTAGTCAATAATATAATTTATTTTAGGTTGCTTTAATAATGGGCATTATGGGTGCTTGTAGCGCAGCAGAATTGCACTCTATGCATTTTACAGATTTAGAAGATCATGGATCTATTTTTATAGTCAGTGTACCAAATACAAAAACAAAAATTGCCAGAAAATTCACTGTTATGGGAAATTTTTATACTATAATTAAGAAATATTTAAATCTTCGTCCTACCGATATATCGCAAACAATATTATTCTTTAAATTTCAAAATGGAAAATATCACAAACAAAGAATTGGCATTAATAAATTTGGAGCAATGGGGAAAGACGTTGCTACATTTTTAAAATTACCAGATGGTAATTTATATACCGGGCATTGTTTCGCCGCTCGTCAGCAACTTTATTAGTAGATGCTGGAGGGGATATAACGGCACTGAAACGCCATGGCGGTTGGCGATCAACTACTGTTGCTGAGGGGTACATTGATGATTCAGAAAACAATAAGAAAGATACTGCAAATAAAATATACAGTTCTATAACGCCTCAACCAGTCAGTACATCTACAACATATATACAACAAACACAAAAAGAAACAATAAACTTGCATAATACAGTCCCACATATTCAGTTTACTGGTTGTTCAAACTTTACAGTTAATATCATTAATAAACAAAATGAGTAATTACACCTAAAACTTTTATTTAATTGTTATAACTATTAAGATTTGTGAATAAACTTCTTTCTCGATACTTGTATCTTAGTATTTATTGTTATAGTCGTAGATAAAGTATAGTATTCAACTTGCAGTAATGGTCATAACTCACTTGATGAATTACAGCACTCGCCTGCGGCTCGTGCTGCAAACTTCATCTGCGTGAGTTATGACCAGCATTACCGCTCGTTAAATAATATACTATTATTTTATTTATTTTTTACATACCACATGGTATGCAGAAATGTAGGTTGAACATAAAATAGTGAACGATTTGATTATGGCTCTACGAAACTCAATGAAACTAAACTACAGCTTACCAACAAGACACAATTCGTATAATATCGTTCTCATATTATTTATATGATTGTAGAGACTGAAAGTAATTTTCAAGTGAATATCAAATTACCATCTTCCAATTTTTTTACGGTTTTGGTTGCTGAAATATAGGGTTAATATGGCATTGTTGAATCCCTTGTATAACGATTTCTATTGTAGCTTCACCCCAGTTATCAGAAAATACAGAATTTATACAAAGCGAAAGAAAGCGTCAGTAAATAAGTCAGTACGAGTTTATTGATTTCTACTATTTAAACAAGAGTCCCAGTCAGGTTCAATAATATAATCTCTATTTTCCGGCTTCCTCACCGGCGGCTTGTACTCCCAAGGTGGTTGCTTCAGAGGTAAAGCTGCCCCGCTCGGTAACAGATTCATGTTATTTAACCAGAACAACGCGTGTGCCAACAGCCAAGTAATCAAGGTCATTTCTTCGCTATGATGAACCTTCTTCCTCTGGGGCCACACGAATATTATTCCCTTTTGTTGAAACTTCGGGGACTTCGAGTAATCTTTTGGAATGGAGACAGTTCGATATTTATGTTTGTGGACGGCCCTGGTAGTTTTCATGTAAGTGTTTGTTACCTCCGAAACTTTTCTGTAGAACTGTGTCTTCACATATTTAAAATTATCTGGATTCATGCCATTTACCTTGGCAAAAATTTCAAAGCATCCTGTATACTGGTTTTGGGGAAATTCGGACATAGTAGGTAATTGATATTTAACTCATTATTTACTGAGCACGATAATTTGGGGCAACACTTACACTACGTTATTTGTTGTAAATCGAATGTACGATCACTGACAGTAAATGTAGTAATGACAGTGACACAAACGTTTCATAGAAATACAGGGTGTATCATTATTAATAGCGCAAACTGAAACAGCTGTAAGTACGCGCTACTAGATAGAAGTAAAAAAATCTTAGTAAACGTAGGTCCGCAAACGAGCCGTTTGCGAGATAATTCAGAATTTGTAGTCACCAGCCACAACTGACTTGATTATGATTAAACGTCATCCAGTTAGGAAAAGGTACCAATTGAACATTAAGAAAAGTTATTAGGTACTTCCAGGATTCCTTGAGGAACAATGCCAGAGGATGTGGTACCTACACTGAAAGAAATGCGTTTTATTCTTTATTAGAATTCTATATACCATTATAAGACCATTGTATACTATATGTGACAGTTAAACAGGTGAATATTGGATATAAAACGCGTATTGCTAGCACAGTTGTATAGTGATTATAAACCCTATTTTTTATTAAATTATTGTATAACTAGTATACAACGTTTTTTATACTCTTTACGAAATAATAGCAATAACTGTTATTAAAATGTTCCATATCGTTATTAGAACATCTAGTACTGGTTATAAGTTTTATAATAATAAATGTATTAAACTGTTGTATACTCTGTATGAGTTAAAAACATATGACATTAAGTTTTCAGAAATTTTATTGGATAACTGTAATTACAAGCTAAGGTTCTAATGTAAACATACATAAAACATACTTTTAAGCATTAAAAATGATGACAAATCGCTCCCAAAACTGTTCAGTTTATTTTCTTAGCAACGATGCACCCGTATTTTCTTGTATTACATGAGAATTTACACGATAACTCTTCCACCTTAAGAATGAAGCATCCCCTGAAAGGTTGAACTTTTTTCCATCTAATTTTATTTCCTCTGGTTGATTGACTTTATACCCATGCTCTTCTTTGTCACCGCCGTTAACCTTCTGTTCCTCCATCTTATGTAAAACTTAACGTCAGCGATTTCTAATAGGACCTACAAAATAATAATTTTTAAGATTTAGACAAGATTTACATTTGAAAAAACAAAACAATTACAAGCCATAAAACAGTTAGATCCTTACATAATAATTTTCCATTTCACACAACGCGATATGATCATGTATCCCACAAAACATTGTGCATATACTGTCCATTTTCATCAAACTAGACGTGTGTAAGTCGATGCACAGCGGACTGTCGGAAATTTTACGATTGTTGTATTTTCTCTTCTTGAGTAAAGATAATAAAGACGTTGTGGTTTTGTGTGTTTATTTTGACAATGATTGAACATGTATGGACAATAAAAGTGGACTGTATAAGATAGTTGAGTACCGTTCTGCTTCATGCATAGCATGCTACTGAAATCTTAGAAGGGAAGGGATGAGCTCGTGCGGCGAACCCTAAATCAGCGGCTGGAATAGCCAGGTTTCTTATTGAGTCGGCGCACTTCGCTCTCGGGTCTGACATATGATTATTATTACAAGACTATGAATATAACTTAACAACGATCATAACCGATTATGCACCGAGAGGTGACGATCACTTAACCATTATAAGATGCGTTTTACACGTTAAAAACGGAAACATATTCAGTATAAGAACGAATAATTCTGTTAATACAATTGTTATATACAAATTCGGATACTGGTCATTATACAACAAATCTTCCCTACTATACAACTGGAATATAAAGTCTATAACACCTAATAATGTATAAGTAATTCATTATAACCTTTATTTCATAGATGCATAAGGTGTATTAAGCACCTTCCAGTTAAACTGATTGAATAATGAGTATGGAGATGATTGCTTTTTTTAATAAAAGTTGTATATTGGTTATAAAAGTTTTAATATGCGCTATACACATTATTCTAGATAAACAGTTTAAAGTGTACATGCATGATGGAATTGATGGAGCACCAGCACATTTTGCTGGTGAGGAGGACATCTAATGCACGGATATGGCAAAAGATGGATTGAGCGAGGAGGACCCGTATCGTGGCCTCCAAGATCACCTGATCTGAACCCTTAGGATTTTTGTTTGGAACCACCTTAAAGGTGTAGTGTGCGACACTCTGGTTAGCACAGTTGAAGAATTTAAAAATGATCCAGGCGTGTTTGAAATAATTCGACACGCAATGCAGTGACAAGGCCTGCATCCGAGTACAAGGACGACAATTTAAACATTTCCATTAACAACGAGTAAGCACACTGTGCAGCCATATTAAGTAAGACTGTTTTCTGGCTCGTTCATTAAAAACAACTGCGCTTCTACCAAAGTATCTGATAACTTTAATAATGTTATATTATTAGAGGTATAGTTATTATATTGGTGGCTTATCCTAACTAGGATGACGTTTACACACAATCAAGTTAGTGGTGGCTGATAACCACATATTCTAATTATCTCGGCTCGTTAGCGGACCCATGTTTAATAAAGACTTTTCTGCTTTTAGTATCAGCTGTATCAATTTGTACTATTAATTATGATACCTACATCTTGTAAAAAGACTTTTTTTGTTAAAACATAACAACGTAACAATCTAACAAAGTTTTTTTACTAATGAACTTATGCCAAATTTTACATAATGTTAATTTAATAGAAGATTTCAGGTATATTATCGTATCGAGTAAATAATAAAAAAGTGTGTACCATAACAAGAGCAATACAGAACAATTTTGCACCAAAAATGACGAATTAGTTGAAATATTAGGAAATGCAATTCCATAAAAATATGTTAAATTTATTTCAGACCACAAACAGATCTTTTATGATATTTTCCGATTTATGAATTCTATGACAATACAATTTGATATTAATAAATAAACGACAAATTTATAAATTTTCACAAATGTAAAATAATGGCTTTATACCGATATAAGGCATCGAAAAAAGAAAGAGTTTAGAGGTGGATAATTATTGAAAATGAAACCCGCAAGATATATAACAAAATAGGGTCATGCTAAGATAATTTGCAATTTCTGATAAGATTATTTAGAGCTAATAGTTTTGAAAACTAATTGGATTTCACATAAAGCCTTTGAAAACTAAGTAAATTATTACCTAACACGATTTTAATAGGAATTCTGGGTAAGTTCTGGTATGGCAACATCACAGTTTGGTAAATACTTCAAACACAAGCTCTTATTATACCATAGATTTGGTTTTACATTCAAAGATTAATAAATATAGAAATTAAGATATTAACAATTCATTACTATCTTCGCCAATAACTTCAATAAGTTAAAAATTACAAGATGCTATAATTATTTATTTATTATTTTCAAGAAAAACACATTATCTGACTAACTGTTAGATCAAATCTTTTCTGTGAATGTGCTCTATACACAGCAATTTTTACAAATACCATTCTTTGACAAAATCAAAGAGTATGTGTAAAACACCATAATTGAGTAAACTGGCTCACTGAAATAAACAAATAAATATTAAAATATTTTAACCGAGGAGAAATTATCATGAAATACATAGAAATCTGAAAAACACAAGATTGTTTAAAACTTTCATACAATATACTGCAAGTTTCTCATTGTATCTGATATATCTACAATCTCTCTCGTTCCTATACCTAAACAGGTCCTAATTAAACCGATGAATTTGTTCAATCAATCAATTAAAGTTTCTTATTGTTTTTTTTCATATGTTAATGGAGTAGGAATCAGCTGCATGTCGCTTAAAATGATGCTGCCATTATGACAGACGTTTTATTTATCATTCATGCGATTAATTTTAGCTCTTTTTAAGAGCTTGTCTAAAATGTTATGGGTAGGTATTATAATTTAAATTAAAAAATATGATGAATATTGTAAAGGTTGTATGTATCTTCCGTAACATACAATAATTTTATTGTCAATGTATTTTTAAGTAAAGAGGAAATAAGAATATTAGAAAATGGTACTATTCGATAAATAAAAAAATACGAATATTTTAGTTTTTATTAATACCTTTGCTCCTTATTCTACTGCTGTCAAGTGATACGTGATGAGTGATAGATACGTGATGAGTGATAGATACGTGATGAGTGATAGTCCCAACATCAACAATCAACGCTGTTTTCTCTGTTCCCGTTTCCATTCCATTGAAATTTGACACTCAACAGTAAAAACAAACTCTGGGTGCAACGAAAAACTCTCCGATTGTTTTAAAATGCGACACTTTCATTCTTAATGGGTGCAATCGTCATTCCTAAGCATACGAGACAGTATGCAGAAATAAATCAATTTATTTTTTTTTAATGTAAATTTATACACATGCTTATTAGAAAGAAAATCATATAAGTGTAAAATACGGATGGTTCCATTTAAAACGATAAGACATCATTTTGTTTCTAAACATTTTATGACATTAATTTGTAGTAAATAAATGAGTTCAAAAGACGGCATGGAAAAAGCTCAACATTTTTATTACTATTATATTTTAAACAACCCCTACGTATCAAACTACAAATCGAGAATGTACCTACATTACACCCATAAAAGAAATATAAAGGAAAACCATCTACGGCATCCTTCCGATCAAAGATTTAACATAAAAATAAATTGAAAGAATATTATTATTTATTTGCTTTTTCCGAATATTTTTTTTGCATATTTCCAATATTATAATATTTTTAGATACACTTCTATAGAAACCTCTTTCTATTAATTGAAGACATGGATTTCGACAAGTTTGTTGAAGCATTTTAATTCTCTGTGTAATTTCAATTGGCACGAATTGCGGAAAATTATTAAGATTAATTAAAGCTTAAGTAACACATTTAGGCCCGGTTCTTTGAGTCTCGGTTAAGGTTTCATTAACTAATCAGGCGATTAGACTGTGATTATACTTTGTAAAATAAATCATTATATGTACAGTCTAATCGCCTGATCAGTTAATCAACCTTTAACAGA